TCACCCCTTTTTGTGCTAAAAAAATAACCCAAAAAAAGCCAAAAAACAAAAAAAAAACCCCAAAACTGGGGTAAAAAAACCCCAATTAGGGGTAAAAAAAACCCAAAACTGAGGTAAAAACCCCAAATTTGAGGGAAAAAAACCCCAAATTATGGGTTAAAATCCCAGATCTGAGGTAAAAACCCCAAAAATAGGGGTCAAAATCCCAAACCTGAGGTAAAAACCTCAAAACTGAGGGAAAACTCCCAAAATTATGGGTTGAAATCCCAAATTTAAGGTCAAATCCACCCAAATTTGAGGTAAAAATCCCCAAAAATAGGAGTCAAAATCCCTAAACCTGAGATAAAATCCCCAAAATTGAGGTAAAAACCACAAGTTTGAGGTAAAACCTCCACAAAATCTGGGTTAAAATCCCCAAATCTGAGAGAAAAGTCCAAAACTGAGGTAAAATCCCCCCAAATCTGAGGTAAAAACCCCCCAAAATAGAGGTAAAAACCCTAAACCTGAGGTAAAAGCCCCCAAAATTGAGGTAAAACCTCCCCAAAACTGAGGTAAAAACCTCAAATCTGAAATAAAACCCCCAAATTTGAGATAAAAAAACCCAAATCTGAAGTAAAACCTCCACAAAATCTAGGTTAAAATCCCAAATCTGAGAGAAAAGCCCCAAAATTCAGATAAAAACCCCAAATCTGAGGTAAAAAACCCAAAACTGAGGTAAAAGACCCCCAAAACTGAGGTAAAAAACCCCCAAAACTGAGGTAAAAAAAACTGAGGTAAAAAACCCCCAAAATTGAGGTAAAAACCTTCCCAAAACTGAGGTAAAAACCCCCGAATCTGAGATAAAACCCCTAAAACTGAGGTAAAAAACCCCCAAAACTGAGGTAAAAAACCCCCAAATCTGAGGTAAAAAACCTTCCCAAAACTGAGGTAAAAACCACGAATCTGAGGTAAAATCCTCCTAAATTTGAGGTAAAAGCCCCAAAATTGAATTAAAAGCTTCCCAAAACCAAGGTAAAAACCTTAAATCTGAGATAAAAAAAACAAAATAGGAATCAATATCCCAAATCTGAGGTAAAAACCCCAGAAGTGAGGTAAAATCCCCCCAAATTTGAGATAAAAACCCCCCAAAATAGGGGGTCAAAATCCCAAATCTGAGGGAAAAATTCCAAATTGAGGTAAAATCCCCCCAAATTTGAGGTAAAACCTCCACAAAATAGGAGTAAAAACTCTAAACCTGAGATAAAATCCCCCCAAATTGAGCTAAAACCTCCCTAAAACCGAAGTAAAACCCTCAAATCTGAAGTAAAACCCCCAAAACTGAGATAAAAGCCCCCCAAAATAGGGGTCAAAATTACAAATCTGAGGGAAAAATCCCCAAATCTGAGGTAAAAAACCCTCAAAACTGAGATAAAAACCTTCCCAAAACTGAGGTAAAAGCCCCAAAATTGAGGTAAAAACCCCCAAATTTGAGGTAAAAACCCCAAAACTGAGGTAAAAACTCAAAAAATAGGGGTCAAAATCCTCAAATCTGAGATAAAAACCCCAAAACTGAGGTAAAATCCCCCCAAATTTGAGGTAAAAACCACCCAAAAATAGGGGTCAAAATGCAAAATCTGAGGTAAAATCCCCCAAAATTCAGGTAAAACCTCCCTAAAACTGAGGTAAAGACCTCAAATCTGAAGTAAAAAACCCAAAACTGAGGTAAAAGAAACCCAAATCTGAGGTAAAAAACCCCCAAAATCTGAGGTAAAACCCCCAAAACTGAGGTAAAAACCCCTCAAATCTGAGGTAAAAAACCCCCAAAACTGAGGTAAAAAAAACTGAGGTAAAAAACCCCCAAAACTGAAGTAAAAACCTTCCCAAAACTGAGATAAAATCCTCAAATCTGAGGTAAAAAACCCCCAAAACTGAGATAAAAAACCCAAAATTGAGGTAAAAACCTTCCCAAAACTGAGATAAACCCCTCAAATCTGAGGTAAAAACCTCCCCAAATCTGAGGTAAAAACCCCCGAAATCTGAGGTAAAAATCTGAGGTAAAAAACCCAAAAAACTGAGGTAAAAAAACCTGAGGTAAAAAACTCCCAAAATTGAGGTAAAAACCTTCCCAAAACTGAGATAAAACCCCAAAATCTGAGGTAAAAAAAAACCTAAAAACGTCCCTAACCCCCCCCTCAAATTTTCCTGACAGTTCCCCTCAAAACCCGGGTTAAAACTCCCCAAAAAACCCTTTTTTTAAAAAAAAACCTCGCCGTTTTATCCCCGATTTCCCCCTTTAATTCTTACCCTTAAAATCCTCCTATTTTTACCCCTGAATTGCAGGTTTGTTTTTTTTTCCTTTCCTTTTTCACCCCCGAACGGCCCCAAAACCACCCCAAAGATTCCCCCGAACCCCTCCCCCCTTCCGCGCCCGCGAAAAAAAACCCAAAAAACCCCAAAAACCCCGAAAAAAGCCCCAAAAAAACCTTCACTTTGATGAGCATCTCGCGGAGGATCCCTGAGGGTGGGCTCGGAGGGCGGGAAAGAAACCGGAAGCGGAAGTGGCTTCCTTCTCCCCCTCCCACTTCCGGTATAAACACAAAATGGCGGCCGCCATTTGTAGTTCGCGGCGGCACTTCCGGGTTCCCGGGGCGTCGATCAAAAATCGCCCCAAAAATCACCCAGATTGGGGGTTTTTTCGCCCAAAAATCGCTCGGTGACGTCACGGGGGACGTCACCGCTCCGAAAAACCCCCTATTAATCCAAACCACCCCTAAAAATCAGGGGGTTTTAATTGAGATTGAGGAAGGGGGTGGAGTTCCCTGGAGGGAGGCCACGCCCACTTTGGGGGAGGGGCTTACCAAGAGGGGAGAAGAGGAGTGGGCGGAGCTTGCGGCGGCGGGGGCGGGGCTTCATCCTGAAAGGGGCGTGGTCAGCAAAACAATTATTTACTGATTAAATAATCATTAATAATTAATTATTATTTTTGTTTGATTTATATTTCTTAAAATTAGTTTTACTTATATTTATTATTTTACTTATATTTCTTATTTATAGATAATTGCATTTGCATTCTTAGTAATTAATAACCATTAGTTATTAATTAATTATTTTTATTTCATTCATATTTATTAGAATGAGTTTTATTTCCATTCATTACTTTAATTATATTTATTTTTATGCATTATTTTATTTACAATTATTATAATAATTACTAAAAATTAGCAAATAATGATTACTTAATAATTAATTATTGACAATCAATTATTATTTCTACTTTACTAATATTTGTTAGGAGTGATTTTATTTCCATTTCTTATTTATATTTATATACTTATATTTATATATAACTTTATTGATCTTGATTATAGCTAATTATTAACTGTTAATAATTAATAACTAACAAACAACTGCTAATTTATTATTATTTTTTATTATTATTTTTTATTTTATTCATGTTTATTACAATTGATTTTACTTACATTTATTATTTTATTTACATTTATTATTTTTCTATAATTTTATTTAAATTCATTACAACTAGTTAATAACTATAATTACTTATAAACAATTTTCAATTAATTATTATTTTTATTTCATTTATATTTACAAGAATGGATTTTACTTACATTTCTTATTTTGTCTATATTTCCTATTTATACAAAACCTTATTGATATCTACTACAACTAATAGTTAATAATCAATAACTACTTACTAATTATTAATAATTAGCTATTACTTCTGTTTTACTTATTAGAATGAATTTCATTTTTTTTCTTATTTTATCTGTACTTATTATTTACATATAATGTCATTTATATTTATCGTTATTTCACTATAATTAATTATAATTTTATTATAATTAGCTAATAAATAATTATTAATTAATAATTAATTAATAATAATTAACCAAGCCTCTCACCTTTTGGGCGTGCTCCTGGCAACCGGCAGCGGGCGTGGCACTCCCCCTGCAAAATGGGCGTGGCTTAGAATGGGCGTGTCCCCCAGACCTCATTTACATCCCCAAACCCCGCCCACTTCCGGGTTAAGCCCCGCCTACCGCGGTGGGCGTGGCCGACGTCGGCCAAATAGCGGCGCAGGGCGGGGAGGGCGCGGGGGCGGAGCCAGGAGGGGGCGTGGCCCCAGGCCAGGCGCTCCAGCTGCCATAAAAGGAGAAAAAGGGGCGGGGCTTGTCAAAAAGGGGCGGGGTTTGTGAAAAAGGGGCGGGGCTTGTGGAGAAAGGGGCGGGGTTTGTGGGGAAGGGGTGGGTTAGGAGAAAGGGAGGGGCTTGTGGGAAGGCAGGGTTTGTGGAGAAAGGAGGGCTTGTGGGAAAGGGCGGGTTTGTGGGGAAAGGGGCGGGGTTTAGGAGAAAGGGGTGGGGCTTGTGGAGAAAGGGGCGGGGCTTGTGATAAAGGCGGGGTTTATGGGGAAAGGGGTGGGTTTATGGAGAAAGGGGCGGGTTTAGGGAAAGGGCGGGTTTGTGGAGAAAGGTGGGCTTTAGGGAAGGGGCGGGTTTGTGGAGAAAGGTGTGGTTTATGGAAAAGGGGTGGGGCTTGTGGAGAAAGGGGTGGGTTTGTGAAGAAAGGGGCGGGGTTTGTCAAAAAGGGGGTTTAGGAAAAGGGGCGGGGTTTGTGAAGAAAGGGGCGGGGTTTGTGGAGAAGGGTGGGGTTTGTGGAAAAGGGCGGGGTTTAGGAGAAAGGGGCGGGTTTGTAAAGGGGCTGGGTTTAGGAAAAGGAGGATTTGGGAAAAGGCGGTTTGTGGAGAAAGGCGGGCTTAAGAGAAAGGGGCGGGTTTTGGAGAAATGGGCGGGTTTGTGGAGAAAGGCGGGCTTGTGGAAAAGGGGCGGTCTAGGGGAAACAGGGGCTTGTGGGGAATGGCGGGCTTAGGAGAAAGGGGTGGGGTTTAGGGGAAAGGGCGGGTTTGGGGGAAAAGGGGTGGGGTTGTAAAAGGGGTGGGGTTTGTGGAGAAAGGTGGGTTCAGGAGAAAGGCGGGTTTGTGGGGAAAGGGCGGGGTTTGTGGGAAAGGGGCGGGTTTGTGAGAAAGGCGCGGGTTTGTGAGAAAGGGCGGGTTTGGGGAAAGGGTGGGGTTTGGGGAGAAAGGGGTGGGCTTAGAAGAAAGGGGCGGGCTTATGGAGAAAGGGCTGGGTTTAGGGAAAGGGGCGGGGTTTGAAAGGGGCGGGGTTTGTGGAAAAGGGGCTGGGTTTGTGGAGAAAGGGCGGGGTTTGTGGAGAAAGGGGTGGGGTTTAGGGAAAGGGGCGGGTTTAGGAGAAAGGGCGGGGTTTGTGGAGAAAGGGGCGGGTCTGTGGAGAAAGGGGCGGGTTTGTGGAGAAAGGGGCTCAGGGGGAATGATGGCTTGTGGAGAAAGGTGGGTTTGTGGAAAAGGGTGGGGTTTAAGAGAAAGGGCGGGTTTAGAAAAGGGGCGGGGCTTGTGGGGAAAGGGCGGGGTTTAAGAGAAAGGGGTGGGGTTTGTGAGAAAGGGGCGGGGTTTGTGGAGAAAGGGCAGGGTTTGGGGAGAAAGGCGGGGCTTGTGGAGAAAGGGGCGGGGTTTGTGGAGAAAGGGCGGGTTTGGAAAAGGCGGGGTTTAAGAGAAAAGGGGTGGGGTTTAGAAAAGGGTGGGGTTTGTCAAAAGGTGGGGTTTAGAAAAGGGTGGGGTTTGTGGAAAAGGGGCGGGCTTGGGGAGAAAGGGGCGGGTTTGGGGAGAAAGGGCGGGTTTGTGGAGAAAGGGGCGGGGTTTGTGGAGAAAGGGGCGGGGTTTGTGAAGAAAGGGGCGGGGTTTGTGGAGAAAGGGGCGGGTTTGTGGAGAAAGGGGCGGGTTTGTGAAGAAAGGGGTGGGCTTGTGAAGAAAGGGGCGGGCTTTAGGAGAAGGGGTGGGGTTTGGAGGAAGGGGTGGGGTTTGTGAGAAAGGGCGGGGTTTGTGGAAAACCCTCAAATCCCTCTCAAATGAACCCCAAAATGACCCAAAATCCGTCGTTTATGCCCCAAAAAAGACCCCAAAATTTCCTCAAGCGCCCCAAATTCCCCGCAAATCCCCCCAAAATCCCCCCCAAAAAACCCCCATTTTTTCCACTAAAATGACCTAAAATCCCCCTTTTTGACCCAAAAAGACCCCAAAATTTCCCAAACCCCCAGAATTTCCCAAACCCCAAATTCCCCAAAATCCTGAAATCCCCAAAATCCCCCCAAACCCCCCAAAATCCCCCAAATCGCCCCCAAAACCCCTTATTTCCACTAAAATGACCCAAAATCCCCTTTTTGCCCCAAAAAGACCCAAAACCCCCAAATTTTTCCCAAAATCCCTCAAATCCCCCAAACCCCCAAAATCCCCAAAATCCCCCAAACCCCCCAAAATCCCCAAAATCCCCCCAAAATCCCCCAAAATCCCCAAAATCCCCCAAACTCCCCAAATCCCCCCAAAATACCCCATTTCTCCGCTAAAATGCCCCAAAATCCCCTTTTGCCCCAAAAAGACCCCAAAACCCCCAAAATTCTCCCAAACCCCCAAACCCCCTCAAATCTCCCAAAATACCCCCAAAATCCCCCTCAATGCCCCCAAAATCCCCCAAAATCCCCCCAAAATCCCCCCAAACCCCTCATTTTCTCCACTAAATGACCCAAAATCCCTTTTTCCCAAAATGACCCCAAAACCCCAAAATTTCCCCAAATCCCCCAAAATCCCCCAAACCCCTCCAAACCCCCCAAAATCCCCCCAAATCCCCCCAAACCCCCTAAACCCCCTCAAAACCCCATTTTCTCCACTAAATGACCCAAAATCCCCGTTTTTGACCCAAAAGACCCCAAAACCCCCAAATCTTCCCCAAACCCCCAAAATCCCCCCAAAATTCCCAAATCCCCAAATCCCCCAAACCCCCAAAATCCCCAAAAATCCCCCAAATCCCCTCAAATCCCCCCAATCCCCAAACCACCCCCATTTTCTCCACTAAAATGACCGAAAATCCCCCATTTTTCCCCCAAAGACCCCAAAACCCCAAATTTTTCCCCAAACCCCCAAAATTCCTCCAAAATTTCCCAAAATTCTCCCAAAATCCCCAAAATCCCCCCAAACCCCCCAAAATCCCCCAAAAGTTACCTAAAGCCCCCAAAATCCCCCCAAACACCCCCCAAAACCCCCATTTTCCCCACCCAAATGATCCAAAATCCCCTTTTCCCCCAAAAATTCCCCAAACCCCCCAAATTTTCCCCAAAATTTCCCAAAATCCCCCAAACTCCCCCAAATCCTCCCAAAACCCCCCTCAAATCTCCCTCAATCTCCCCTCAAATGAACCCCAAAATGACCCAAAATCCCCCATTTTTGACCCCAAATCCCCCATTTTTGACCCCAAAATCCCCATTTTTTCCCCCAAAATTTCCCAAACTCCCCAAAATTCCCCAAAATCCCCAAATCCCCCAACCCCCCAAAATCCCCAAAATCCTCCCAAAACCCCCAAAATCCCTCGAAACCCCCCAATTTTTTCCACTAAAATGCCCCAAAATCCCCCTTTTTTGCCCCAAAAAAGACCCCAAAACCCCCCAAATTTTTCTCCAAACCCTCCCAAAATCCCCCAAATTTTTCCCCCAAACCCCCAAAATCCCCCCAAACCTCCCTAAACCTCCCCAAAAACCCCATTTTCTCCACTAAAATGACCCAAAATCCCCTCAAAACCCCCCAAATCCCCATTTTTCCCCCAAAAGACCCCAAAACCCCCAAATTTTCCCCAAAATTCCCAAAATTTCCCCGAACACCCCAAAATCCCCCAAGTCCCCCAAAATCCCTCCAAACCCCACCAAAAACCCCATTTTCTCCACCAAAATGACCCAAAATCCCCTTTTTCCCCAAAAGACCCCAAAACCCCCCAAATTTTTCCCAAAATTTCCCTAAACCCCCAAAATTCCCAAAATCCCCAAATCCCCAAAATCCCCCAAATCCCCCCAACCCCCCAAAATACCCTCAAAAACCCCATTTTCTCCACTAAAATGCCCCAAAATCCCCCTTTTTTGCCCCAAAAAAGACCCCAAAACCCCCCAAATTTTTCCCAAACCCCACCAAAACCCCCAAAATCCCCCAAATCCCCCCAAACCCCCCCTAAAATCCCCAAAATCCCCCCCAACCCCCAAAATCCCCCAAAACCCCCTTGTTTTTTCCACTAAAATGACCCAAAATCCCCTTTTGCCCCAAAAGACCCCAAAACTCCCCAAAATTTCCCCCAAAACCCCCAAAATCCCCAAATCCCCAAATCCCCTCAAAATCCCCCAAAATCCCCCCAAAATGCCCCAACCCCCCAAAAACCACCCATTTTCTCCACTAAAATGCCCCAAAATCCCCCTTTTTCCCCAAAAGACCCCAAACCCCCAAATTTTTCCCCAAATTTCCCAAAATTCCCTAAACCACCCCAAAATCCCCCTCAAACCCCCCAAAATCCCCCAAATCCCCCAACCCCCAAAACCCCTCCAAAACCCCCATTTTCTCCACAAATATACCCCAAATCCTCCATTTTTCCCCAAAAAGACCCCAAAACCCCCAAATTTTCCCCAAAATTTCCCAAAATTCTCTCAAATCCCCCAAAATCCCCCAAATCTCCCAAAATCCCCCCTAAACCTCCCCAAAATCCCCCCATTGTCTCCACTAAATGACCCAAAATCCCCTTTTTGCCCCAAAATCCCCATTTTTGACCCAAAAGACCCCAAATCCCCAAAACTCCCAACCTCCTCCAAAATCCCCAAAAATTCCCAAATCCCCCAAATCCCCTTAACTTCCCCCAAAATCCCCCAAAATCCCCCCCAAACCCCCTCAAACCTCTCCCCCAAAAACCCCATTTTCTCCACTAAAATGACCTAAAATCCCCTTTTTGCCCCCAAATCCCCATTTTTCCCAAAAAGACCCCAAAACTCCCCAAAATTTCCCCAAAACCCCCAAAATTTTCCCAAATCCCCAAAATCCCCAAATCCCCAAAATCCCCAAATCCCCCAAACGTACCAAAATCCCCCAAAATCCCCCAAACCACCCCAAAAACCCCATTTTCTCCACTAAATGACCCAAAATCCCTTTTTGCCCCAAAAAGACCCCAAAACCCCCAAAATTTCCCCAAATTTCCCAAAATCCTCAAACCCCCAAAATCCCCTCAAAATCCTCCCAAATCCCCCAAATCCCCAAAATCCCCCAAAATCCCCCAAACCCTCTAAACCTCCCCAAAACCCCCCATTTTCTCCACTAAAATGACCCAAAATCCCCATTTTGCCCCAAAATCCCCTTTTTTCCCCCAAAATTTCCCAAAACCCCCAAAATTTCCCCAAAATTTCCCCAAACCCCCCAAACTCCTCCAAATCCCTCAAAACCCCCTCAAATCTCCCTCAATCTCCCCTCAAATGAACCCCAAAATGACCCAAAATCCCCGTTTTTGCCCCAAAATTCCCCTTTTTTTCCCCTAAAAGACCCCAAAACCCCCCAAATTTTTCCCAAACCCCCCAAAATCTCCAAATCCCCCCAAAATTCCCCAAATTCCCCACCTGGCCGAGGTCGGGGGGGGGCAGGGCGCTCTCCACCCTCAGCACGAACTCGAAGAAAAGCGACTCCAGCGAGCCCAGGAACGGCTCCCCATAGCCCTGGGGGGGTACTGGTTATACTGGTTTATACTGGGAGGCACTGGGAGGGGATTGGGGGGCACTGGGAAGGGGTTGGAACAAACTGGGATAAACTGGGAGGGACTGGGAGGGACTGGGAGGGGATTGGGGGGCACTGGGAGGGACTGGGAGGAGATTTGGGGTCACTGGTTTGGACTGGGAGGGCACTGGGAGGGGACTGGGAGGGATTGGGGGTCACTGGGAGGGAGTTTGGGGATTACTGGTTTATACTGGGAGAGGATTTGGGGTCACTGGGAGGGAACTGGGAGGGACTGGGAGGGTGTTTGGGGGTTACTGGTTTATACTGGGAGGAGACTGGGAGGGAGTTTGGGGGTTACTGGTTTAGACTGGGAGGGGAGTGGGGGGCACTGGGAGGGACTGGGAGGGAGTTTGGGGGTTACTGGTTTATACTGGGAGGGGATTGGGGGTCACTGGGAGGGACTGGGAGGGATTGGGGGCACTGGGAGGGAGTTTGGAGGTTACTGGTTTATACTGGGAGGGCACTGGGAGCTCCAGCGAGCCCAGGAACGGCTCCCCATAGCCCTGGGGGGTTACTGGTTATACTGGGACATACTGGGAGGGACTGGGAGGGGACTGGGGGACTGGGAGGGGTTGGAACAAACTGGTTTGGACTGGGAGTCACTGGGAGGGAGTTAAAGGGGTTTAAGGGGGATTTGGGGGCACTGGGAGGGAACTGGTTTGGGGTTTGGAGTTACTGGTTTATACTGGGAGTTACTGGTTTGGGGTCTGGGGTCACTGGGAGGTACTGGGAGGGGATTGGGGGTCACTGGTTTGGACTGGGAGGGCACTGGGAGGGCACTGGGAGGGACTGGGAGGGGATTGGGGGCACTGGGAGGGACTGGGAGGGATTGGGATAAACTGGGAGGGACTGGGAGGAGTTTGGGGGTTACTGGTTTATACTGGGAGGATTTGGGGTCACTGGGAGGGACTGGGAGAGGGATTGGGGGCACTGGGAGGAGGTTTGGGGGTTACTGGGTTATACTGGGAGGGCACTGGGAGCTCCAGCGAGCCCAGGAACGGCTCCCCATAGCCCTGGGGGGGTACTGGTTATACTGGTTTATACTGGGAGGGCACTGGGAGGGGATTGGGGGCACTGGGAGGGGGTTGGGGACATTGGAACAAACTGGGAGGGACTGGTTTGGACTGGGAGGGAGTTAAAGGGGTTTGAGGGGGATTTGGGGGCACTGGGTTTGGACTGGGAGGGGATTTGGGGGCACTGGGAGGGACTGGGAGGGACTGGGAGGCACTGGGAGGAACTGGGGGCTACTGGGAGGGACTGGGAGGGGATTGGGATAAACTGGGAGGGACTGGGAGGGGATTGGAACAAACTGGTTTGGACTGGGAGGGAGTTAAAGGGGGTTTAGGGGGGATTTGGGGTAACTGGGAGGGACTGGGAGGGATTGGGGGCACTGGGAGAGGGACTGGGAGGGACTGGGAGGGAGTTTGGGGGTTACTGGTTTATACTGGAAGGGATTGGGTTGAACTGGGAGAGACTGGGAGGGGATTGGGGGTCACTGGGAGGGGGTTTGGGGGTTACTGGGTTATACTGGGAGGGCACTGGGAGCTCCAGCGAGCCCAGGAACGGCTCCCCATAGCCCTGGGGGGGTACTGGTTATACTGGGACAAACTGGGAGGGACTGGGAGGGCACTGGGAGGGGATTGGAACAAACTGGGAGGGACTGGGAGGGAGTTAAAGGGGGTTTAAGGGGGATTTTGGGGGCACTGGGAGGGACTGGGAGGGAGTTTGGGGGTTACTGGTTTATACTGGGAGTTACTGGTTTGGGGTCTGGGGGTCACTGGGAGGGGATTGGGGGTCACTGGTTTGGACTGGGAGGGCACTGGGAGGGACTGGGAGGGATTGGGATAAACTGGGAGGGACTGGGAGGGGATTGGGGGTCACTGGGAGGGAGTTTGGGGGTTACTGGTTTATATTGGGAGGGGATTGGGGGTTACTGGTTTATACTGGGAGGGGATTGGGGGTCACTGGGAGGGACTGGGAGGGATTGGGAGGCACTGGGAGGGTGTTTGGGGGTTACTGGTTTATACTGGGAGGGCACTGGGAGCTCCAGCGAGCCCAGGAACGGCTCCCCATAGCCCTGGGGGTTACTGGTTATACTGGTTTATACTGGGAGGGACTGGGAGGGGATTGGGGGGCACTGGGGGGCACTGGGAGGGACTGGGAGGGGGTTGGAACAAACTGGGATAAACTGGGAGGGACTGGGAGGGGATTGGGACAAACTGGTTTGGACTGGTTTGGACTGGGAGGGGGTTAAAGGGGGTTTAGGGGGGATTTGGGGGCACTGGGAGGGACTGGGAGGGACTGGGAAGGTTTTGGGCAGTTACTGGTTTATACTGGGAGGGACTGGGAGGGCATTGGAATGAACTGGGAAGGACTGGGAGGGGGTCTGGGGATTACTGGGTTATACTGGGAGGGACTGGAAAGGGATTGGGAGGGACTGGGAAAGTGGTTTATATTGGTTTCTATTACTCTCTACTGGTCCCTACTGGTTTATACTGGTGCAATACTGGTTTATACTGGTCCATACTGGGAGATCCCAACAACAGGTCATTACTGGCCCATACTGGTCCCTACTGGTCCATACTGGTTTGTACTGGTTTCTACTGATTTCTACTGGTCCCTGCTGATCCCTACTGGTTTTTACTGGTCCCTACTGGTTTATACTGGTCCATACTGGGAGATCCCAAGGGGAGATCCCCACTGGCCCATACTGGTCCCTACTGGTCCATACTGGTCTATACTGGTTTGTACTGGTTCATACTGGTTTCTACTGGTTTCTACTGCTCCCTACTGGCCCATACTGGTCTATACTGGTCCATACTGGGAGATCCCAAGGGGAGGTCCCCACTGGCCCATACTGGTCCCTACTGGTCCCTACTGGTCCATACTGGTCCCTACTGGTTTATACTGGCTTATACTGGTTTCTATCACTCCCTACTGGTCCATACTGGTTTATACTGGTCCATACTGGGAGATCCCAAGGGGAGGTCCCCACTGGCCCATACTGGTCCCTACTGGTCCCTACTGGTCCCTACTGGTTTATACTGGCTTATACTGGTTTCTATCACTCTCTACTGGCCCATACTGGTTTATACTGGTCCATACTGGGAGATCCCAAGGGGAGATCCCCACTGGCCCATACTGGTCCCTACTGGTCCATACTAGTCCATATTGGTCCATACTGGTTTGTACTGGTTTATACTGGTTTCTATCACTCTCTACTGGCCCATACTGGTTCCTACTGGTCCATACTGGGAGATCCCAAGGGGAGGTCCCCACTGGCCCATACTGGTCCCTACTGGTCCCTACTGGTCCCTACTGGTTTATACTGGCTTATACTGGTTTCTATCACTCCCTACTGGTCCATACTGGTTTATACTGGTCCATACTGGGAGATCCCAAGGGGAGGTCCCCACTGGCCCATACTGGTCCCAACTGTTCCATATTGGTCTATACTGGTTTGTACTGGTCCCTACTGGTCCCTACTGGTTTCTATCACTCCCTACTGGTCCCTACTGGTTTATACTGGTCCATACTGGGAGATCCCAAGGGGAGGTTCCTACTGGCCCATACTGATCCATAATGGTTTATACTAGTTTATACTGGTTTATACTGGTTTCTATCACTCTCTACTAGTCCATACTGGTCTATACTGGTCCATACTGGTTTCTACTGGTCCGTACTGGTCCATACTGGTCTATACTGGTTTATACTGGGAGATCCCAAGGGAAGGTCCCCATTAGCCCATACTGGTCCCTACTGGTCCATACTGGTCCCTACTGGTTTATACTGGTTTCTATTGATTTCTACTGATCCATACTGGTCCCTACTGGTTCATACTGGTCCATACTGGTCCGTACTGGTCTCACCTGCAGCTCCCGGCCGTGGCCCCGCCCCTTTCCCAGCATTCCCAGCACCTGATCCCGGAAGTTCTGCTCGGCCTGGGCCAGCAGGGGGCGCTCTCGGGGGCTCTGAGGGGTCATTAACATAAAAGGGGGCGTGGCCTCATCAGACCACGCCCCTTTTGGTTGTTAATGCAAAAAGGGGCGGGGCTAAAGCAAAGGCCACGCCCCCCTCCCCTCCCATTCATTCCCCATAGGGGCTCCCAGTGCTCCCAGTAAGGCCCAGTGACCCCTCCCAGTGCTCCCAGTGACCCTCCCAGTGCTCCCAGTAACTCCCAGTGACCCCTCCCAGTGAGGCTCAGTGACCCCTGCCAGTGCTCCCAGTAAGGGACAAAAGGCCTCCCAGTGCTCCCAGTAGTAGACTCTCAGTGCCCAGAACCAGTGACCTCCCAATGCTCCCAGTAACTCCCAGTGACCCCTCCCAGTGCTCCCAGTATGGTCCAAAGGGGTTCCCAGTGCTCCCAGTAATTCCCAGTGACCCCTCCCAGTGCTCCCAGTAACTCCCAGTGACCCCTCCCAGTGCTCCCAGTAGAACCCAGTAACACCTCCAGTGCCCTCCCAGTGCTCCCAGTGACCCCCAGTGCTCCCAGTGACCCCAGTCCAGCCTCAGTGCTCCCAGTAACCCCTCAGTGACTCCCAGTGACCCCTCCCAGTGCTCCAGTAATCCCAGTGACCCCTCCCAGTGCTCCCAGTATGTCCCAGTGACCCCTCCCAGTGTTCCCAGTAACTCCCAGTGCTCCCAGTGACCCCTCCCAGTGCTCCCAGTAACTCCCAGTGCTCCCAGTAACTCCCGGTGACCCCTCCCAGTGGTCCCAGTGACAAAGTCCCTCCCAGTATCACCCAGTAACCCTCCCAGTGCTCCCAGTAACCCCCAGTGCCTCAGTACCCTCCCAGTGCCTCCCAGTGACCCTCCCAGTGTTCCCAGTAACCCAGTAACCCCTCCCAGTGCCTCCCAGTATTTCCCAGTGACCCTCCCAGTGCTCCCAGTAGCCCAGCACCCTCCCAGTGCCTCCCAGTAAGTCCCGTGACCTCCCAGTGCTCCCAGTGACTCCCAGTGCCTCCAGTGACCCTCCCAGTGCTCCCAGTAAGCATCCAGTGATCCTCCCAGTGCTCCCAGTGTCCCAGTAACCTCCCAGTGCTCCCAGTATGGTCCAAGTTCCCAGTGCTCCCAGTGACCCTCCCAGTGCTCCCAGTAACCTCCCAGTGCTCCCCAGTGACCCTCCCAGTGCTCCCAGTAAGCTCAGTGACCCTCCCAGTGCTCCCAGTAACTCCCAGTAAGCCCAGTGACCCCTCCCAGTGCTCCCAGTAACTCCCAGTGACCCCTCCCACTGCTCCCAGTGACCCCTCCCAGTGCTCCCAGTAACTCCCAGTGCTCCCCAGTCCCCTCCCAGTGCCTCCCAATATAAACCAGTAACCCCCAAACCACCTCCCAGTCCCTCCCAGTTTATCCCAAACCCCTCCCAGTCCCTCCCAGTTTATCCCAGTGCCTCCCAGTCCCTCCCAGTCCCTCCCAGTGCCCCTCTCACGCTGTGGGCGTGTCCCTGCTCAGGCCCCGCCCCCTCCCCCTCGGGGAAGAGCCAATCGAGGGCGTCCAGGAGGGGCGGGGCCGGGAGGCCCTCGAACATTCCGGAAATGACCTGGAAAAACAGAGGGGGAGGAGGGAAAAAGGGGCGTGGTTTGGGTGGGGAGGGGCTAAAGGAGGGGCTTAAAGGAAGGAGGGGCTTAGGAAGGGAGGGGTTTAAGGGAGGGTTTAAGGAAGGAAGGGCTTTAAAAGGGGAGGGCTAAAGGAAGGGGAGGGGTTTAAAGGGGGAGGGGCTAAGGAAGGAGGGCTTAAGGAAGGAGGGGTTTGAAAGGAGGGAGGCAAGGAAGGAGGCTTAAGGAAGGGAGGGGCTTAAGGAAGGAGGGGTTAGGAAGGAGGGGTTTGAAAGGAGGAGGGCTTAAGGAAGGATGGGCTTAAGAAAGGGAGGGGCTTAAGGGAAGGAGGGCTTCAGGAAGGGAGGGGCTTAAGGAAGGAGGTAAGGGAGGGGCTTAAAGGAAGGAGGGGTTTAAGGGGCTAAAGGAAGGAGGGGCTTAAGGAAGGGGAGGGCTTAAGAAAGGGGAGGGGCTTGAGAAAGGGAGGGGCTTAAGGAAGGGAGGGGTTTAAAAGGAGGAGGGGCTTGAGGAAGGAGGCTTAAGGGAGGAGGGGCTTAAGGAAGGGGAGGGGTTTAAGGAAGGGAGGTTTGAAAGGGGGAGGGGCTTTAGGTGGTAGGGGCTTGGAATGTAGGGGTAGGAGTGGCTTGAAAGGTGGGAGGGCTTGTGGAGGTGAAGGCTGAGTGGGCGTGGCTTGTGGAAGGGGAGGGGCTTAAGACGGATGGGCGGGGCTTAAGGACAGGGGAGACGCTTTGAAGGAGATGGTAGGACCAAGGAGGGGTTTAAGGAAGGGGAGGGACTTAAAGAGGAGGAGGGGCTTCAAGGAAGGGGAGGGGCTTAAGGAAGTGGGAAGGGCTTAAGGAAGGGTGGGGTTTGAAAAGGAGGAGGGGCCTAAGAGGAAGAGACGGGCTTAAGGGAGTGGAGGGGTCTAATGGGAAAGGGGAGTGGCTTAAGGAAAGGGAGGGGCTTAAGAAGGAGGGGAGGGGCTTGAGGTGAAGGGGAGGGGCTTAAGCGGAAGTGGGAGGGGCTTAAAGGAAGGCAGGGGCTTAAGAGAAGTGGGACGGGTCTAAAGGGGACAAAGGGAGGGGTTTTGGGGTTAGGGGTGGGGCTTTGTGGTGGTGGGCGTGGCTTGTGGGTGATTAAGGGTAAGTGGGCGTGGCTGATGTGAAGTGGGCGTGGTCTGTGGTAAAGTGGGCGTGGCCTAAGAGTCCACAGACCCCATTTTTGGGCCCAGTGGGCGGGACCAAGGAGAGGTTTTAGAGGGTGGGGCTGGGTGGGCGTGGCCTGGGTGAAGTGGGCGTGGCTTATCGACACATGGGCGTGGCCTGTGCACATGTGGGCGTGGCCTAAGACTCCATAGACCCCATTTTGGGCACAGTGGGCGGGACCAAGGAGGGGTTTTAGAGGGGTGGGGCTGGGTGGGCGTGGCCTGGGTGAAGTGGGCGTGGCTTATGGTAAGCTGGGCGTGGCCTGTAGTAAAGTGGGCGTGGCCTAAGACTCCACAGACCCCCCTTTAGGCGCCATTTGGGGACCCCAAAATTGGGACCAAAGGGGGTGAATTTAGAGGGGTGGGGCTGGGTGGGCGTGGCCTGAGGTGAAGTGGGTGGCTTATCGATTTGGGCGTGGCCTATCCACATGTGGGCGTGGCCTAAGACTCCACTAGACCCCTTAGGTGCCATTTGGGACCCAGATGGGCGGGACCAAGGGGGGGTTTTAGAGGGGTGGGGCTGGGTGGGCGTGGCCTGGGGTGAAGTGGGCGTGGCTTCTGTGACTGAAGTGGGCGTGGCCTATCCACAGGTGGGCGTGGCCTAAGACTCCACAGACCCCATTTTGGGCTCAGTGGGCGGGACCAAGGGAGGGGTTTTAGAGGGGTGGGGCTGGGTGGGCGTGGCCTGGGGTGAAGTGGGCGTGGCCTGGGGTGACGTGGGCGTGGCCTGGGGTATCGTGGCCTGTGGTGAAGTGGGCGTGGCCTAAGAGTCCATAGACCCCTTTAGGTGCCATTTGGGGACCCCGAAATCGGGACCAAAGGGGGTGAATTTAGAGGGGTGGGCGTGGCCTGGGGTGAAGTGGGCGTGGCCTGATATAAAGTGGGCGTGGTTTGTGGTAAAGTGGGCGTGGCCTAAGACTCCATAGACCCCTTTTTGGGCACAGTGGGCGGGACCAAGGGAGGGGTTTTAAAGGGGTGGGGCTGGGTGGGCGTGGCCTGGGGTGAAGTGGGCGTGGCCTGGGGTGAAGTGGGCGTGGCTTAAGACACCCTAGACCCCATTTTGGGTGCAGTGGGCGGGGACCAAAGGAGGGTTTTAAAGGGGTGGGGCTGGGTGGGCGTGGTCTGTGTTGAAGTGGGCGTGGCCTGAGATAAAGTGGGCGTGGTCTGTGGTAAAGTGGGCGTGGCCTAAAACTCCATAGACCCCATTTTGGGCACAGTGGGTGGGACCAAGGGAGGGGTTTTAAAGGGGGGGGGCTGGGTGGGCGTGGCCTGGGGTGAAATGGGCGTGGCCTGGGATGAAGTGGGCGTGGTTTGCTGATTGTGGGCGTGTCCACTGACCGCAGCCCTCAGTCCCAGGCTCAGGCGGTGCCGGTGTCGGGGGTGCAGGGCCCGGGGGGCCCCTCGGCCAATCAGATCCAGCAGGGCCAGGAGGCGGGGCCAGCGCCTCAAGCTCCGCCCCCTCAGCGCAAGCCACGCCCCCGCCAGGGCCAAGCGAAGCCCCAGGGAGGGGCTGGGGGGGGGAGGGGGAGGTGTCAGTGAGCTCCCAGTAGAGCCCAGTATGGCCCAGTGAGCTCCCAGTGCCTCCCAGTATGACCCAGTGGTCTCCCAGTGACCTCCCAGTATGGCCCAGTGATCTCCCAGTATGGTCCAGTGCCATCCCAGTACAGCCCAGTGATCTCCCAGTATAGCCCAGTATAGCCCAGTGCCTTCCCAGTACAGCCCAGTGATCTCCCAGTGCCTCCCAGTATAACCCAGTGCTCTCCCAGTATGGTCCTGTACAGCCCAGTATGGGCCAGTGATCTCCCAGTATAGCCCAGTACAGCCAAGTGACCTCCCAGTATAGCCCAGTACAGCCCAGCGACCTCCCAGTGCATCCCAGTACAGCCCAGTGCCATCCTAGTATGGTCCAGTGACCTCCCAGTACAGCCCAGTGACCTCCCAGTACATTCCAGTACAGCCCAGTGACCTCCCAGTATAGCCCAGTGATCTCCCAGTGCATCCCAGTACAGCCCAGTGCCATCCTAGTACAGCCCAGTGACTTCCCAGTATAACCCAGTGTCCTCCCAGTGCATCCCAATACAGCCCAGTACAGCCCAGTGACCTCCCAGTATAGCCCAGTATGGCCCAGTGCTCTCCTAGTATGGCCCAGTGACAGCCCAGTATAGCCCAGTGCTCTCCCAGTAAATCCCAGTGCATCCCAGTATGGCCCAGTGATCTCCCAGTATGGCCCAGTGCCCTCCCAGTATGGCCCAGTGATCTCTCAGTACGGCCCAGTGATCTCCCAGTATGGCCCAGTGACCTCCCAGTGCATCCCAGTATAGCCCAGTGCTCTCCCAGTACATCCCAGTATGACCCAGTGATCTCCCAGTATGGCCCAGTGATCTCTCAGTACGGCCCAGTGATCTCCCAGTACAGCCCAGTGTCTTCCCAGTGCATCCCAGTATGGCCCAGTGACCTCCCAGTGCATCCCAGTATAGCCCAGTGATCTCCCAGTACGGCCCAGTGACCCCCCAATATGGGCCAGTGACCTCCTAGTATGGGCCAGTGACCTCCCAGTATGGCCCAGTGCCATCCCAGTATGGGCCAGTGATCTCCCAGTGCCTCCCAGTACAGCCCAGTGACCTCCCAGTGCATCCCAGTACAGCCCAGTACCACCCAGCGATCTCCCAGTATGGCCCAGTACAGCCCAGTGATTTCCCAATATGGCCCAGTACAGCCCAGTGCGATCCCAGTGTGACCCACTGATCTCCCAGTATGGGCCAGTACAGCCCAGTAACCCCCCAGTGCCCTCACAGTGCCATCCCAGTATGACCCAGTGACCTCCCAGTGCAGCCCAGTATGGCCCAGTGCCTCCCAGTACAGCCCACTGATCTCCCAGTGCCTCCCAGTGCATCCCAGTACAGCCCAGTGTCATCCCAGTATGACCCAGTGCCCTCCCAGTGCATCCCAGTACAGCCCAGTGACCTCCCAGCACAGCCCAGTATGATCCAGTGATCTCCCAGTGCATCCCAGTACAGTCCAGTGCTCCCCCAGTTCATCCCAGTATGGTCCAGTACAGCCCTGTAACCCCCCAGTGCCCTCCCAGTTCATCCCAGTCCCTCTCAGTGCCCCCCCAGTGCCTCCCAATTCATCCCAGTTCATCCCAGTTCCCCCCCAGTGCCTCCCAGTAACCCCCCAGTCTCTCCCAGTGCCCTCCCAGTCCCTCCCAGTCATTCCCAGTCCCTCCCAGTGCCCCCCCAGTACATCCCAGTCCCTCCCAATAACACCCCAGTCCCTCCCAGTTTATTCCAACCCCCTCCCAGCGCCTCCCAGTTCATCCCAGTAACCCCCAATCCCCTCCCAGTCCCCTCCCAGTGCCCTCCCAGTGCCTCCCAGTACCCCCCAGTCCCTCCCAGTGCCCCCAGTCCCTCCCAGTCCCTCCCAGTCCCTCCCAGTGCCTCCCAGTAACCCCCAGTCCCTCCCAGTGCCCCCAATCCCCTCCCAGTCCCTCCCAGTGCCTCCCAGTGCCTCCCAGTACCCCCCAGTCCCTCCCAGTGCCTCCCAGTGCCCCCCAGTCCCCTCCCAGTGTATTCCAGTCCCCTCCCAGTCCATCCCAGTCCCTCCCAGTCCCCTCCCAGTGGCCCCAGTCCCTCCCAGTGCCCTCCCAGTGTCTCCCAGTGCCCCCAGTCCTCCCAGTGCCCCCAATCCCCTCCCAGTCCCCCCAGTCCCTCCCAGTGCCTCCCAGTGCCCCCCCAGTCCCTCCCAGTTCCCCCAGTCCCCTCCCAGTCCCCCAGTCCATCCCAGTCCCCTCCCAGTTGCCCCCAGTGCCCTCCCAGTCCCTCCCAGTCCATCCCAGTCCCCTCCCAGTTCCCCAGTGCCCTCCCAGTCCCCTCCCAGTCCATCCCAGTTCCCCCAATCCTCTCCCAGTCCCTCCCAGTCCCCCGCCGCCCTCCCCCTCACCTGACGTCACTCTCTCCCATCCCCGCCCCTTTTTCCCCGTCTGTGACGTCACTTCCGCCCCGGTCCCGGTTCCCGCCGGGCTCCTCTCCCCAAAATCGGTCCCGCCGTTCGCGCCGGGAAGTGACGTCATCAACGCGCGACGCGCCCCCACAAACCACGCCCCTTCGTGTGGTTAAGCCACGCCCATTTAATGACGTCATGCATCGAAGGGTTAATGAAAGGAGGGGAGGAAAAGGAGGGGTGATGACGTCACCGGGGCGGGGAAAAACCGGGATAAAGCCGGGAAAAATCGGGATAAAAGCGGGAAAATTGGGATAAAAACTGAAAAATCGGGATAATAAACCCAGAAAATCGGGATAAATCCTAAAAAATTGGGATAAAAACCGAAAAATCGAGATAATAAACCCAAAAAATAGGGATAATAAACCCAAAAATGAGGATAAATCCTAAAAAATCGGGATAAATCCCAAAATATCAGAATAAATCCCCCAAAAATTGGGATATATCACAAAAAAATTGGGATAAATCCCCAAAAAATGGGGATAAATCCTAAAAAACTGGGATAAATCCCAAAAAAATCGGGATAAATCCCCCCAAAAATCGGGATAAATCCCCAAAAATGGGGATAAATCCTAAAAAATCGAGATAAGGGACCCTAAAATATCGGGATAAATCCTACCAAAAATGGGGATAAATCCTAAAAAAAATTGAGATAATAAACCCAGAAAATCGGGATAAATCCTAAAAAATGGGGATAAATACTGAAAAACTGGATAAGAGACCCTAAAATATCAGGATAAATCCTAAAAAAATCGGGATAAACCTCAAAAAATCGGGATAAATCCCCAAAATTAACCCAAAAGACCCAAAATTAACCCCAAAATACCCAAAATTAACCCATAAAATCGGGATAAATCCTAAAAAATCGGGATAAACCACAAAAAACTGGGATAAGAGACACTAAAAAATCGGGATAAATCCTAAAAAATTGGGATAATAAAGCCAAAAAATTGGGGATATTAAACCCAAAAAATAGGGGATAATAAGGCTAAAAAATAGGGATAATAAACCCAAAAAATAGGGATAATAAACCCAAAAAATAGGGATAATAAACCCAAAAATAGGATAATAACTAAAATGAGATAATAAATCCCAAAAAATAGGGATAATAAACCCAAAAAATAGGATATAAGGCCAAAAATAGGATAATAAACCCAAAAAATAGGGATAATAAACTCAAAAAAGGATAATAAACCCAAAAATAGGGATAATAAATCCAAAAATAGTATAGGCCAAAAATAGGAATAATATGGGAAAAAAAATAGGGATAATAAACCCCAAAAATAGGGATAATAAGCCTAAAAATAGGGATAATAAATCCAGAAAATGGGGATAATAAACCTAAAAAAATAGGGATAATAAAGACAAAAAATAGGGATAATAAACCCAAAAAATGGGGATAATAAGGCCAAAAAATTGGGATAATAAATACAAAAAATAGGGATAATAAAACAAAAAATCGGGATAATAAACCCAAAAAATCGGGATAATAACCCAAAAAATCGGGATAAATCCCAAAAAATCGGGATAAATCCTAAAAATTGGGATAAATCCCAAAAATCGGGATAAATCCTAAAAAATTGGGATAAGATACTCTAAAATATCGGGATAAATCCCCCCAAAAATAGGGATAAATCCCAAAAAAAGGGATAACTCCTAAAAAATCGGGATAAATCCCAAAAAATCGGGATAATAACCCAAAAATCGGGATAAATACCCAAAAATAGGGATAATAAACCCAAAAAATCAGGATAATAAACCCAGAAAATTGAGATATTAAACCCAAAAAATAGGGATAATAAATCCAAAAAATAGGGATAATAAGAGAAAAAAATAGGGATAATAAACCGAAAAAATAGGGATAATAAACTTAAAAAATGGGGATAATAAACTTAAAAAATAGGGATAATAAACACAAAAAATGGGGATAATAAACCCAAAAAATAGGGATAATAAGCCCAAAAAATCGGGATAATAAACCCCAAAAAATAGGGATAATAAAACAAAAAATTGGGATAATAAGGCCAAAAAATCGGGATAATAAGGCCAAAAAAATAGGGATAATAAACATACAAAAAAAAGGGATAATAAACCCAAAAAATAGGGATAATAAACCCAAAAAATAGGGATATTAAGGCCAAAAAATAGGAATAATAAACTTAAAAAATGGGGATAATAAACTTAAAAAATAGGGATAATAAGGCCAAAAAATAGGGATAATAAACCCAAAAAATAGGGATAATAAGGCAAAAAAAATAGGGATAATAAACCCAAAAAATTGGGATAATAAATACAAAAAATAGGGATAATAAAACCCAAAAAATAGGGATAATAAGCTTAAAAAATGGGGATAAAAACCCTAAAAAATAGGGATAATAAACCCAAAAAATCGGGATTATAAATCCAAAAAATTGGGATAATAAACCCCAAAATAGGGATAATAAGGCCAAAAAATAGGGATAATAAACCCAAAAAATGGGGATAATAAACCCAAAAAATAGGGATAATAAACCCAAAAATTAGGGATAATAAACCCAAAAAATGGGGATAATAAGGCCAAAAAATGGGGATAATAAAGACAAAAATAGGGATAATAAACATAAAAAATAGGGATAATAAGGCAAAAAAAAAGGGATAATAAACCCAAAAAATTGGGATAATAAATACAAAAAATAGGGATAATAAACCTAAAAAATAGGGATAATAAACCCAAAAAGTAGGGATAATAAACTTAAAATAAAATAAATAATAATAAATATATAAATATAATAAATAAATAAATATAATAATAAATATAATAATAAATATGTATAAATAAATATATAAATAAATACATGTAAATATATAAATATATAAATAATTAAATAAATATAATAATAAATAAATAAAATAAAAAAAACCTAAAAAATGGGGATAATAAACCCAAAAAATGGGGATAACTTCCCAGTTCCATCCCAGTCCCTCCCAGTTCCATCCCAGTCCCTCCCAGTCCCTCCCAGTGCCCCCCAATCCCCTCCCAGTCCCTCCCAGTTGGAGCCGAACCCGAGGCCCCGCCCCTTCTAGGAGGCCACGCCCCCTTCAATGACGTCACACTGCGGAGTTTCCAATTTATACTTTATTGGTGTGACGTCATGGCGCAATGACGTCACGGGGGCGGGACTGGGAGAGGGCGGGGCCGCTCCCAGTGCTCCCAGTACGGGACAAACTGGTTCCAGTGTTCACAGTGAAGCCTTCCCAGTGCTCCCAGTACGGTGGAAACTCCTCCCAGTGCCATCCCAGTGCCCTCCCAGTCCATCCCAGTGCCCTCCCAGTCCATCCCAGTGCCCTCCCAGTTCAGACCAGTCCATACCAGTTCACCCCAGTGCACCCCCAGTTCATCCCAGTGTCCTCCCAGTTCATCCCAGTGCCCTCCCAGTTCAAACCAGTGCCCTCCCAGTCCATTCCAGTGCCCTCCCAGTTCAGACCAGTCCATACCAGTTCACCCCAGTGCACCCCCAGTTCATCCCAGTGCTCTCCCAGTTCATCCCAGTGCCCTCCCACTTCATCCCAGTGCACCCCCGGTTCACCCCAGTGCCTTCCCAGTTCCTCCCAGTCCCTCCCAGTGCCATCCAAATTCCTCCCAGTCCCTCCCAGTTCATCCCAATGCCCTCCCAGTTCATCCCAGTGCTCTCCCAGTTCATCCCAGTGCCGTCCCAGTACATCCCAGTGCACCCCCAGTCCATCCCAGTGCCCTCCCAGTGCCATCCAAATTCCTCCCAGTCCCTCCCAGTTCATCCCAATGCCCTCCCAGTACCCCCCAGTCCCCTCCCAGTGCCCTCCCAGTTCACCCCAGTGCCCTCCCACTGCCTTCCCAGTTTATCCCAGTGCACCCCCGGTTCACCCCAGTGCCCTCCCAGTCCCTCCCAGTCCCTCCCAGTGCCATCCAGATTCCTCCCAGTCCTCCCAGTGCCTCCCAGTCCCTCCCAGTGCCCCCAATCCCCTCCCAGTCCCTCCCAGTGCCATCCAAGTTCCTCCCAGTGTCCCCCAGTCCATCCCAGTGCCCCCAGCCTCCCATTGCCTCCCAGTGCCCTCCCAGTCCTCCCAGTCCTCCCAGTGCCTCAGTCCGCTCCCAGCCTCCGTCCCCCAGATCCAGCCTCCCAGCCCCTCCCAGTCTCCCAGCCTCCCAGTCCTCCCAGTGCCTCCCAGTCCATCCCAGTCCATCCTCCCAGTCCCTCCCAGTCCCCTCAGCCCCTCCCAGTTCACCCCCAGTGCTCCCCGTCCTCCTCCCTGCCTCCTCCCGTCCCCATCCTGGCCCGGGGCCTCAGGACCCCTGGGTCACTGCCGACCCTCCCAGTGCTCCCAGTGCTCCCAGTTGGGGCGGGGGCGGCGTCGAACTGGAGGGTCCCGTGGAGGGGCCCCAGCCCGGAGCTCTCCAGAGTGGCCACCAGGAGGCGCCGTCCGGCCCGGAGCGGCCTCACCGATTGGCTGAGCCGGAGCGTCTGCCCCGCCCCCACCAGCCTGGGGGGCGGAGCCACGGCCTCAGCCCAGTATGGACCAGTAGGGACCAGTATGGACCAGTATGGGTCAAATCCCTCCCAGTGCCTCCCAGTCCATCCCAGTGACTCCCAGTGAGTCCCAGTGACTCCCAGTCCATGCCAGTGCCTCCCAGTTCATCCCAGTGACCCCAGTCCATCCCAGTCCATCCCAGTGACTCCCAGTCCTCCCAGTCCATCCCAGTCCATCCCAGTGCCCGTCACCGATTGGCTGAGCCGGAGCGTCTGCCCCGCCCCCACCGGCCTGGGGGGCGGAGCCACGGCCTCAGACCAGTATGGACCAGTAGGGACCAGTATGAGTGAAACCCCTCCCAGTCCATCCCAGTGCCCGTCACCGATTGGCTGAGCCGGAGCGTCTGCCCCGCCCCCACCGGCCTGGGGGGCGGAGCCACCACCTCAGCCCAGTATGGACCAGTAGGGACCAGTATGGGTCAAATCCCTCCCAGTCCATCCCAGTGCCCGTCACCGATTGGCTGAGCCGGAGCGTCTGCCCCGCCCCCACCGGCCTGGGGGGCGGAGCCACCAACTCAGCCCAGTATGGACCAGTAGGGACCAGTATGGACCAGTAGGGACCAGTATGGATGGACCAGTATGAACCAGTATGGACC